CCTCCGTCTCTAAAGGCTGCATGTGCGACTGAGGTGCTGGAGCTGTGCACTATAACGATGCTGCTCGGCACTTTCAGAGATGACACAGAAACCTGACACAGACCACATGGCATGGTGCTCAGCTACACCACAGCCACAGATGACTAGCATGTACGTGTTTCCAGCTGGCATATGTTTTCTCTCATCTGCACGCAACGTTAGCATAAGTGCATGCCATCCAGTAGCAGAAACGGCCCGTCGCTTGTCAGGCAGGAAACAATATTTGTGTTTAACATATGAGCGGCTTAGACCGCAAATCTGCTTTTTGTCTCAGAGGGAGGTATGAACCCAGAGAATGGCATGTTCAACGAGCCCGCATCCTCATTCCTTCCCGCTTTGTTTTGTTTGTTTGTGTTTTTAAGCACATTTAACACTTGGACTTTGAGTCAGAGCGAGAGACCCGAAGGGAGCAAGCCTCAGCGGACCGAGCTGGATTCTTCTGGAAACCAGCAGACTCTTTGTCGCTCCCCTCCGTCATGGGAATCTGCTTGGGCTCCTTTTGTTGTGTTTTATTGTTGCGTTCCTCCTTTACAAAATAAAGGAGGAAGACAGAGTTGGAGAGGGAGATGTTTTAGTGCATAACAGCTTTAAAGAGAACACTTTCAAACGGTCATTGACACTCATTGGTTTATCATGAGTTTGTGGCGTGCAGCTTCTGCTGAATCAGGTTCTAGCTGGGTTATCTGGGTTTACCGACTCTAGATAAGGTCATGTTGTCTTGCAGTTCAGTTCTTGTTTTGACGAACGTCGAGTTATGATTTCTTTCCCCTTTAATCTCCAACAAAGCTTGCTTGACATTTTCACTTTCTTCATCTGTCAAACTGTCTGACCCAAGTCCTTATCAGCAGTCCGTGTCCAATACCTGAGAACCGCAGCAAAGGAAGCCTGAAGTCTAAACATCTGAGGGAGGAGGGGACTGAGACAGAAAGGGATGGGAGGGATCGCTTCCTCCGAGCCTGGGAAGAGAACAATGATTTGGTGCCTTAGAGGAAATATGTAGAGGATTTACTTCTAAACCTAAAGCTCATTTTTGAGAAATCAAAGTTTGATTCAAAGGTTATAACCTGCCTGATGGCTACCAGACATTTTAGAATAAAGAAATCACTTAATAGAGCGTCCCTGACAACATGAAGTAAACTAAGATATCTTAAAAAGCTTAAAGATGACTTTAGATCAGAGATCTGCAACCTTTCATATCCAAAGAGCCATTTTACTCCGGCTAAAGAAAAGTCATTTAGAACTGCAAAATAAGAGTTTTAATTATATTATATTATTATTTTTTTTTATATATATAACTGCTATAGGAAATCTGTTAATATCTTAAACGACAAACATTTTATTTGCTTTTCTATCTTAAGACAAAAGATTCATTAAGATGAGGCATGGATTTTCTTCTATAGGATATGATCATAATAAAACACATAATTTCCAAGCTAGTTAAAACAAAAATAGCTCTACATAAGATATTTCTGGTGCTTTTAATGTCATTCTGTTGAGACGATTCAATTTAGATATTCATTATAAAAAACAATAAAGGTTTTAAGACTGGTTTTTATTCTTAGAGTTTAGCATTATGTCATTTTTTGGCTAATATTAAGAGCCACTGAACAGGGTCTAAAGAGCCACATGTGGCTCCGGAGCCGCAGGTTGCAGGTGCCTGCTTTAGATGATCTCCACGATATTTGGGAAATAATTTAGTGGGTCGATGAGTCAGAAGTAAAACCATGAAAACAACAGAGAAAGGATCACACATAAAATTGTTGCCAAGTCTTGATAAGATGTGGAGAGTTTAACTCTCCAAAAAAAATAAAAAAAATCCAGATATCCATCCGTTTTTTTTTTTTAAATGAATGAATTGATGCTTCGGGTGGCTAACATTTCAATAATATGCAAAGAAGATCTGCTCCAACCAATCCACATTGATATCAGAGTCTCATTGTTAGTGATAACAGACTGCAGACATAATGTCACGCTCTTGGTTCTGTTGAGTTTTTATTTCAGTATTCAGTTTTACTTTAATCCATGATTT